AAGGAGGGGCAGTAGTAAGTGAAGATTATGGAATGTGTCAATGAGACTGTAGGTTTTATTTAGTGCTTGTTGAATGATATAACCTAAGTATTGTGTAATGCAAATTAAGTAAACAGGTTTGTATATGTGTAGCTATGATAAATGTTTGGTGAAACTGAATTAGAAACTCAAGAATCACAAAATGACTCTCACCAATCTTGACAGTAAAGGTAGTTTAAAATGGAGTGTGACATTAATACTTACGTTTTTAACCATAAATGATTATATTTATAAATAATATTCATTTGTATGTTTGCAACATTAGTCTATTTATTGAAATTCAATTAAATATTGAGAAATGGACATGATTAGTTGCTTACACATAAAACAATATAAAACATCTAGAGTAATTTTTCTTTCATCTCTCTTATATTATGTTAATTGTAAGTAATATTAGAAAGAGAGATTTGTGAACTAAGTTTTAGAAACGCTTGTGATGAATCATCTGTTATATAAAATTATCGTCCGAGTGTACATAAAAATTTCAAAAAGTTTAAATACATAAATCAACCTTTCATTTTGTATTTGGCCTATTTCATAGATATTTTTATTGTGACAAATCAATCAACTAGAATAAAATGGTGTTGATTGTAAAAAGTGTTTGTATTTTTTTCTACTTTAAATTTTGTTTATCTCCTTGTATTTTTAGTGTATTATGGATGTCAATCAACCCAATTATCAACATCATTACAATTTATCGTAAAAATAACCATCTCATCCTAAAAATATCTGAAATTATACATACACATTGTTTATCATGAATCCTGACACATGGTATAGGTCTTTGCAATCGACCCAAGACCATCTGACCAATAATAATTCTTAATGTCCACCATTTTTTATGTTTTCACCACCCGAAGTAACTCCATACATTTCTCCTTCATCCATTTTAAAGCTCACTTTGTCTAGTCCTAGTGAAGTTGAATCCCTAATCGCACTTAATACTGCCTAACATGATGGAATCAATGAGAATTTGTTAAAAAATCTAATCGTCGGAGTTGATAAATTATTAATCCAATAAACATACAATAATGATGCAAAGTATGACGTTTTCACAAGGAGGATAGTGGGTCAATTAAAATCTTAATGAAACACAGTTCATCTTGTGATTCAAACGTTTATCACATGTTATAAACGAACAACCAACAAAGGAACATTGGTTAGGTCGAGACAAATATAATGTATTTACACGTGAGATTTTCACTAAAGATTAAAAAGAGAAAAAAAATTAAATTTTAAATTGATAGTAAATGAAAGAACAATTAAAAGAATTAAATATATTTTTAATCTCTTAATTTTTAGTGAAAATTAAAATTAGTCTCTTAATATTAAAAGAAAATATATTCAACAATGTAAATAATTTAAATGTTATCTTAAAACATTTTGAAACATTAAATAAACCTAAATATTTAGTTAAAAAATTAAATACATATATTTCTAAAATTGAAAGACTAAATTAGACAAAAAAATTTTAAAAGAGACTATTTTCAATTTTTACTAAAAATTAAGGGATAAAAATATATTTAATCATAAATAACTAAAATGACTCTCAACATATATGGATAATTTGTTTTTTTTTTTATAAAAAAAACAAGGTTCCTTCTTGATAACATATATGGAAACAGATGCTTAACGTCTTCTAACCCAAAGAGACTCGTCAGAGTTGATGAAGATGATACATCATCATAAATATGACCTATAAGAAAAAAGACAACTAAGGAAAGAAACAAATGCAAGCATTGATTTGTCTGCTATAGAAAGAGCAATGAATGAAAAAAACTAAGTTGGAAGAATTTATTTAAGTTAAAGAATTTCAAAAAATGTGTTTCGAATATGAAATTCTCCTAAAGATAAATCCAACATGTCCTAAAAGAATGAAAGAGCATGAAAAATATTTTGACTATATTAGGTAGAAATAATTTAAATGTAATAGTCATTTGATTGTTACATGTTTATTTAATTTTATGTAATTGAAATTACTGTTAAATTAAAATATTATTATATTATATTTTCAATTAATCAGTTTTATAACTGAAAAATTTAATTTTTATTTATTTATTTTGGTTATGAAACTAGTCTTTGTAAAACTAGCTATTACAAAGCTAGTTAATATAAACTAATAGTAACAAAACTATTAATTTTGTAGTGTTATCTCACTGTCACATATTTTTGTAATATTCAATTATTTATACAAGTAAGTTTGAAAAGCATGGTTTCATACACAACTTTGAATTAAAGCATACATTAAAATTTTGAAAAAATTATTGATGAAGAAGTCATCATGTTAATATACTTAAGCACCAAGAATAAGTCAATAACTTTAGTAGTGACACTTGAAGAAGAAAGGTGGTACGTCAAAATCGTGAACAAGGTCATAATTGATTGTTCAATGATTATGTTTTAAAGGATTGTACGCAAACCTTTTCATTACAGGTTTCATATGCAAACAAATCTATTTCTAGAAATTGTATAAATTTTTGGCAATCATAACGATAATTCTAGAGGATAGATGCAACGCAAAGAAAAAGTATATCACCTTTGCAAAAAATAGCATGTCATTTTATTGTTTGGGTATTGGCTTATGACTTACCTACGTACTGAAGAATGTGGATTAATGTATTTAAATTGGTGAAAGCACAATATTAAAATCCTTACAATAATTTGTATCAAAAGAATTTAAAGATGACTATCAAAGAGGTCCAACAACAAACACACCAACTCACTACTAAAAATTAAAGAGACTTACTAATTTTCAAATATATTAGAATATGTGTTTATAATGAACAAATTTTTATGCAATTACATGGAACGAATTTATTATAGTGATTGTGCTAATTCAATATCATTCTTAAAACAATAACACGATAAAACTTATTATGAATAGATGAAAACTATATATTTGTGAAAAAATTTCAGTCAAGTAAAAAAAAATATTACTCATATAATAGCGCAGATAAGTAAACAAATTTAAAAGGATACTAGAATATTTCAATCTCAATTCAAAATTATTTGTTCTTAATGAAGTGTTGACTCGTGGACAAGTAACAAGTGGTTTGATTGTTTATTTTGTCAAAAAAATGACCTTTTTATGGTTGAGTGAGAGATCCACATATAAAAGATTTTTGGACGTTGAATAAGAAAGTTAAGATATTTTATAATAAAGATAAAAATGAGTATTTATAAAGTGAGTATTTTTTAAAAAATACTACTTATATTTATAGGATCAATATGAGTTGTGGACTTATGTTCTTATTAAAATAGTACTTACTTGGAGAATATAATAGCATTATAATAAACAATAAGAGAATGATAAATAATTACAAACATACCAAACTATCGAGATTTAGTTATAATATATAAATATGATCCAAATAAACATAACTTTGGATTGCTCTATAATGAAGAGGCTTAAAAGACTTTACTAGTCTATACTCTTTAATATGCCTATTGGACCATATAGGAATAATATTGAGTAAATATGATAAAACATGACACCTTATACTTAATCATTCTTAAATTCTTAGTTTTGTTATCTATATTTGTATTGTATGACTATTTGATCAACTACAACTCGTACATTTAACTACCAAATTGGTGACAAATCTTGAGTCTAGATAATTAACTAAACGCTCCGACGACAACTCATTAAGCCTAAACAATTATGTAACAAACCAAGTGATAATTCATCATACAAAATAAATAAACTCAAAAACTGATTAACTTAAGGTTAGAACATGATTATTCTTATTTGGGCCGTAATTAGGCCAACCTTAATAAAAAGTCCACTACAAAATCTACAAAATTTGTAAATAAATGTTTGTGGTAAGAAGGTAAATTACTTATTGATTACAACATTAAATGTTTTCTGTCTAAGTTGATCTAACTTTGCATCAGAATACCTTTTCCATATATATCCCCACATACACACATGGAAAACCCCTCTCATTGTACAAAACTTGAACATGGAACGACACGTCAAAGACTGAATAATTGAATTTTATCCCATACCTGAAACATTGTGTATTGTATGATCATCCGGTTAACTACAATCTTGTTGGTTACTGTCTCATTAATTACAGCCTGAACGGTCAACCATCAAATCAATAACAAATATCGAGTCTAGATGATCAACCAAACGTTCTAATAACAACTCACTAAGTCTAGACAATTTTTTAACAAACTAAGTGATAGTTCATTATATCAAACATCACCATAGTAAATCAATCCCAAAATTGTTTTGACTTAAGATTATAACAATTTAATTAAATTAATCTTAATAAAAATTCACAAAAAAATTTATAAATAAAAAGGTATGTTACAAATTAATTAATTAATTTCTTTTTTTTAAGTTAATCTAGTTTTGACACCAAAATTATCGGGTATCATCCAAACAATTTGAAACCAAAAAACACTTTGATCGCACATATAGACTTGAAACTACACATAAAATACTGAACAATTAACGTTGACCCACACTGGAAAAAACATTCTTTCAAAATTAATCAACAATTCGAATTACCACCAAATTTAAATATATTTAAAGAACCAGAAATGGAAATTTATTTTATAAAAGACATCTCGTGTCATATTTTTCACGTTATGCATGCTAAATAATTATATTATTTTGAAATTATCATATTATTATAAATTATAAATAAATAAATAAATTTTTTAAAATAAACTTAATTAACTATTCATAAATTTTCATTAATAAATATGATTTCGTATCACAATTAAATTTAAATCAAAATATTAAATGATGAACTGTTTAAATTTATTAAAAAAATTAATTTAAATATAAATTTTAAATTAATGGTATAATATAGTACATGTAAACTCGCATATTTCAACTCGAAAATTGGTCTAGTAAATGCTGTAATCAGATAATGTTGACACAGTGATTCTGTTGGAATCAGACCCAACTGCTTCTGTTAAAGACACGTGTGATCTCTGGTAAGAGAACTTGCAAGAAAGAAGCTTGAATTTTTTATAGAGTATCACACACTTCAACACGGCACCAATCATCTCTTCAACTCTTCAACCACTCACTATTAGTCTTCTCTTTTCTTCTTCCCTTTTCTGAATTGCAAAATCTGATGAAGATGAGATGACAGAATTCACAAACCTAAGTTCTGATCTCGTAGAGCTGATCCTGTCTCTGCTCCCAATCCCCACCCTCATCAGAGTCTCAACAGTGTGCAAGCTATGGCACTCCATCATCTCTTCCCCTTCCTTCTCCACACTCTCCAATCACTCCAACAAGCCATGGTTCTTCCTCCGTGGCATCCATAACATCTCCTCCAAGAACAACCAGACCTTTGCCTTTGACCCTTCCTCCAACAACTGGTTCCTCCTCCCCACCCCCCAACACCACCACCGACACCAACCCAACACCTCCTTTATTGGCACTAACTCCTTCTTCTTCATCACTGCCCCCAACTTCCTCTACACCCCTATCCTCCACCCCTCCTGGCACCTCACCCCTCCCCTCCACTTCCCCAGGATCAATCCCCTGTTGGGTGTCTTCCATGATGCTAAAGGTAGCAACTTTAGTCACCCCAAGTTCATTGTTGTTGGTGGGGTCAAGTTCATTGGGAACCTTGTTGACATAGAGGACCGTTTGGATGTGGAGATTTATGACCCTCTTCTGGGGAATTGGGACCTTGGGCCTCCTCTCCCTCCTGATTTCAGATCAGGAAACTCCTCCTCTTCCCTTTCGTCTGCCCTCTTCAAAGGGAAATTTTATGTCTTTGGGATATACTCTTGCTTTGTTTCGTCTTTTGACTTGCATCATAGGGTTTGGAGCGAGGTTCACACCCTTAGGCCTCATGGGGCTGTGTTCTCCTTCTTGGTTGCATGTAAGGAGATGCTTGTGCTTGCTGGGGTGTGCAATTTTCCCCACGGGTTTTCTTCCTTTGTGCTGTGGAAGGTTGATGAGAGGACCATGAGGTTCAGCCAGATTGATGTGATGCCACATGATTTGCTCTGTAGCTTGTTTGATGGTGACGAGGATGATAAATTTGCAAGCTTGAAGTGTGTTGGGTTGGGAGATCTTATATATGTTTACAATGAGGATTACCATAGGATGTACCCTGCTTGTGTGTGTGAGATTAACGGGGAGAGTGGGAGGTGTGTGTGGAGGAAAGTGCCCCCGTTGCCATCACTGATGAATAGGTTTCACAAAGTTATTAGCTTTTGTTCGACAGTTTCACTGCATGGTATTCTGCGTGAACTTCAAGGCCCTGGTCTTCAATTCTAGGTATCCTTTTTTCTTGACATTACCAATTTCCGATTCATAGTTTTTTAGGGAGCACTTAATTTAACCGCATAAAATGGTTTTGTTTTCTTCTTCTTCTTTTTTCTATTTACCAATGATTATAGTGGCTTGTGGTTGTGAAATTAAGTGAAATGTGTGTTATTTTGGCCTTGTTTGTTTTATGTTCTGTTTTGTTTTACAACAATTTGTCTGTGCCTTTTGGATCATGATATTATTTGTAGTCCCAATTATCTTATCATCTCTTTGGTTGATTGGCTTTTTGGTTCAATGATAGATAAGTTTCTTATAGGTTGGCTAGAGGGTATTTCACCAAATGCGTCTTTCATTGTTTAAGCTACCTGGTATTAGAAGTCAGTGTAGTGATTGTCTGATGTAATTAAACGTACTAACTACTGTCTCTTAATTGTGCATATAATAGTTATTCGCCCTTCATAAACCTAGTTGCGTATGCAGTTGTTGTGTGCAATACTTTTTTGTTTATATTGTCTTTTACATTGGCTTGTCACGATTCTACTATTTTGCTTAATTTTTTTTTACCCTTTTTTATGCCTATTTCTGTGAATGGATGTTTATGTATTTATGCCTTGTTTACCTCTGCTGGTAACGATTGCACGTGAAAGTTAGGAAAGGAAAAACGTTATTATTCTTTTTTATTTATCTGTTGAACATGTTTTGACTCTGACAACAATAATGCTAGCTGAACCGACATATTTAGCAGTTTAGCTGCATAATTAGACTAATTAGCATTACAAAATGTTTAGTTTCATAATTTGATCAAGCTCAGAAATATTGTTCAAATTTTTGAAACAGATAAATTTCTCCATCATGGTGTAAATTACCCTATTTTCAGCTGTTTCTGATATTCGAATTCTTATTTTTATAACCATCTCTTTATTCATGTTATAAAACTCCCAAGTTAAACAAGCATATTTAAAATTTTTGTGATGCAGAAAGTTACGATGAATTTCTCTAATTAGGAGTAAGCTTCTTTCTTTTTTTGTTATTGAGTGTCAAGCCTCAGTATCAGTTTCTTCCGAGTGAGTAAACTGTCAAGGTCAAATGGATCCCGACCCTAGTTAAATAAAACTAAGTGTATTCATGTCAAGTGGGAATTGTTCCCACTTGTTATCATAGGAACAATTAATCTTCACTACCTTACTGAATGGGGCTGGAGAAAATTAGAATTGACTAAAACATGGTCAACAAAATCCTTTTATGGTCGAAATATGGTGAAGATTCATTATTTTTCATAACAACTAGTGAAAGCATAAGATGAGAGTTAATCTTGACTATACAATTAAATAATTGGTCAAGATTATATTTAAGCAAAACAGTCATGATGGAACTAGATACCACACTTTGTGATGTCTGCATAGGTAGAAACTCAATTGCTTTGTGGTTCATTTTCTAAGCGCATGTATGTGTGTGCATGTATATGTATGTGTATAAGACACAGACACATACACATATATATTTAATTTAAATTGTGTTTACAGCTTTCAATATGTTCAAAGTTTATTTTAATGGTTGATTGAAGGTGTCAACAACTTATTTTTGTGTATAAATTGATCATTTTTGAGCTATTCCATTGCCTACCATTTTCTATTTCACAATATCTCACTCACTATTGAGGTTCTTTCTTTATTATACTTTTGTGTTCTGTTTGGTTTTACTATAATTTATACTGTGTTCGAAGTTTACATCTGTTTGGTTTTACTATAATTTACACCACAACACACATAGGTAGAGAGGTAAAGAGAGAGATTAGAGAGAAAAGATGAACTGTTGATATGTTTTGATTAACAAAAATTTGAGTCTCAGCACTCCCATAATGAGTTTCCAATACCTGCTACTACAGTAATAAAATTGCTATTTATACACTATAACTTCCAAACTGACTGTCTTGTGGGTCAGTTGGGTTTGTTCTGTTCTTATTTCTTCAAGAATTTACTTTAGTAATAGGTTTCATGTTCCTAAGAATCTCCTCCCAAAAAAAGATCCACCTTGTCCTCATGCTGCCTGTCTGATATTAACACATTTTCTGGTTGAACCTGGATCTCCATGTCATCTGCTAGTGTGAGGGGGTAGAGCTTGAACAAGCTGTGGTGAGCTGAATACTCTCTTGAGGAGGGACACTTGAAAATCCGGGTGAATCCTGCTATCCTCTGGTTAATTCATCTCATAGGCTTTTTGATCAGCAATGGGATATTTTATAACTATAATAGAGTACTTGGGGTACTCCGATCCATTTACAAGATATGTACAGCACTGTAGATACAATAATAATTCAAGAATCCCTTTCTAGTACATTGTAAGATTTCATTCCTATTCTATAACAGAGAATATACTTTTCCATGTATACATTGGAATTGACCCATATATTAGCTTTCTACATTTTATCTAACATATACTACATTTAAGTTGTGGCTGCAATATTAATCTTATTATACTCTTCATTATGTGAACATATGTGATGGAGATTTTCTTTCAAGCATATTCCTTCATATCTTCAACCAAGTGTGCATATAAGTTAGAAGTGTAGCAGCCCCACTTCCAAGCTAAGAGGTCAACCACCACTTTGAAGTCATGTTCCTCTTTAGCTCACCACCTCTTTAACACTTTGTTCACTTGAATGGATTTGGGGGAGAGTGATTGAATGGATTTGAAGGTAAATTTTTTGTTGTTTATTTGAGTGGATTTAGAGGTAAGTGAGAGTGGATTGGGAAGTAAATTTTGTTAATCTGTCACATCAATCAAATCCGACACTAATTCTCACAAACTTTACTTCTAAATCCACTCTTATTTACTTCCAAATCCACTCAAATAAACAACAAAAAATTTACCTTCAAATTTTCTTAAATCCGTTCAATCGCTCTCTCCCAAATCCATTCAAGTGAACAAAGCCTAAATGAGGTGCCTAAAGGAAATTGCCATCATTTCCTAAATCACAAGTCAAAGCCACTAACATAAGCTACCTGGCCAATTCTATCCAAAATCTGAAAATGACGACAAAGGTTGTTGTTAGGCCTTTTATGTTAATAAGCAAATCAAGTAAATCATAATCAAGGAAATCCATTATTAATCATTCCTGTTATTGTGCATATTTACAGTTAATTTGGTAGCCTTCTAATCAGCCTATCAATTAGGAATTAGAAATAATTTGTAATCACTAGCTGTAAATGAGCTAGCTTATAGAAGAAAGGAAAATCAAACAAGGCATCAAAAGCAAACTTTGTTGACATGGTATCTTGAGTCTCCTCACTTAAGAACCTTAGCTCCTATTGCCAAAATGACAGCGTAAGAACAATCCTCTCTTTTTGCAGCCTCCCAAGGCTGGTTACATGATAAAATGGATGTGAAGAATGCCTTTCCAAGTGATTTGGCCAAAGATATTTTTATGACTCCTCCACGAGGCTTGTTTCCTTATTCTGGTGGTTTGGAAAATGGAGCTTTCATTTTTTCTGGTTTCCTCCACAATTTTCATTTTTCCTTCCATTTTCATGGTGGTCTTGAAAGTCCCTTGCCTCATTGCATCCATTCTTGATACCCTCAGCTCTAAGATAGAATCTCTGATACCAGTTGATACAGCTGGTACAAAGAATTAAAAGAAATAACACCACAATATGCAGAAGTAGAGGTAAAGAGAAAGAATAGAGAGAAAAAAGCTAAATTGTGAATGTGTTGATTACTACAGCAATAACATTGTTACTACAGAATAAGTTTCCAAAACCTGCTACTACAGCAATAACATTGTTATTTATACACTATAACTGACTAACTTGTGGGTCGGTTGGATTTTTTTTGTTCTTCAAAACTGTGTGATTGGCGCATCTGGGTTGTCTATATCTTCTACATTGATGCATCTGGGTTGTACTATAGTGCTTGGTGTTTTAAAAGTACTCCATTTTGAAAGTTTATGATCTTGGTTTCTCCATTTCTCATGACCTGTATCTTAGTTTATACTCTGTATATTGAACTGTTGAATTTAGATTAAGTTTACAGATTTCAACTAGTTCAAACTTTATTTTAATTGAAGTTCTCTTATTGGTTGCTGGTATCAGAAACTTATTCTTTGTCTACGAGTTAATCACCATCATTGAGCTTTTCCATTTCCTTCCATTTTCTTCTTCTTCAATAATCTACTTCCAATTGTTCAACATTTAACAATATGATGCTATTTCCTTTTATATCTATTAATCAGAAAAGTAATGGAACACAACTTCTGAGAGAAGAAAGCATCAGTTTGAAGAATTATTTGCTGCAGATGGTGCTGTACCAAAAGTATGTGCAACATTGACATGAAGCAAGAACAGAAGCTGACATAAACTATGTAATAGATAAATAGTCTTATATGTGTTGTATGTGTCTAGTTTAGCTGTTACAAAACATGAATGGTGACAATTTTTCCTAGTGATATTGGCAAACTGTATTCTGTAATAGCTTTTTGTAATTTTAATTAATAATCATTTAGTTTCATGTTGCATTTCTTAGTGAATTGTTGTTACAATTTTAATTCAGTGGTCCATTTTCTTGTATCACCATTTGAAAGACTATTCCATCAAATGTTTGAGTTGCAATAAAAATAAATTACTCAAATCATCTTTGGTAATGCTGATATATCACAATTTCGTTAACACTTTCAATATTAATGTTCCTCTTAATCTGAAGATGTTGAGGTTTGCTATCATTTTTTTTTATAATTTTAACTTATTTCTTGTTTTATGATTAAAATAGAACGAGATAAACAAAAAAAACTACAGACACTTGGCATGATTTAAGTTTATGATTTGATCTTTGGGACGTAATTAAACAACTCAATTTAAAGAGTGAATTTAGCATTATTTAAAAATGTAATAAGAATATACGTATTTTAGTTTCTTAGTAAATTTAATATATTACTAAATAAAATAAATTTGTAGTAATATATAAAATTAAAAATCATCACTAAAAGTACAATAGTGTTTTTGAAATTCTCATTAAATAACTGCCATTATAGTTCTGGTAAGAATTTCAGTAGATTCATTTTAGTAAAGTCTATCAAGTTTTATTAGACAAAAAAGTTTCATTGACAAATTTTAAACAGGAGTATTTTAAAAAAAATTATTTTTAATTTAAAATAAAAAAAAATCAGAAATATTCTTCTAATTTTAATATATATTTTTTACTTATTTATTTTTCTTTCATCTCCATCGTCTCTCGATCATGCATGATGACTAATTTGTTGTTCTTGTTGGAAATTATTTGTTTTAACGAATCATTTAATTCAGGAAGATTTTCTCAGCGAAAGTGAATTAGTGGATTTCTTGTCTTTGTTTGCTTTCATGGCTTACTTCCCCTCTTTAACTTTTTGCCCTAATTTTGACTTTTCACTCTCATAACATCATCCACTGCTTAATTCTACTTCTAACTCTATTATATTTCAACAACAAAATGGAAAATATAATTCCATTCCATTACTATCAATGACTTTTCAAGATAATTATACCAAATAATTTTCTAATTTTCCAGCTTCTTATTTAATTTAGTCAGGTTCTTGTGTCAAATATATTAACATAATGCAATTTTGCTTTTAATTTACCTTATTTTTAAAAACAATTACAAATATAGATAAATTTTTGGAATAATGAAGACGAACAATTATATTTATACATGGGTTGATATTTATTTATGTGTTTATTAAAAGAAATTTAAAGATTGAGTAAAAAAATAATAATAAATATTTTAAAATTTACAATTAAGTTTTGAATAAATGAATTTGAAAAAAGTTTTTCAACCAATAAATTAATCGAGAAATAGCAAAAAAATTGCACAGATTGTTATGTTGGATGAGAGAGAGGACGAGAGATGAGAGAAAAATAAATTAGACAAGTGAGGAATGTAAGTTAGAGTTAGAATTAGCTGCGTGTTTCTGATTTTTTTTTATTTTAAATTAAAATAAAAATTATTAAAATAGTATTTAAAGTTTGTATTTTTTTTATGAATGAGGATTTTTTTATTTACTAAAAAACTTGGTACATTTTGGTACATTTTGCATAAATTAGCAAACTTCATATATATATATATATATATATATATATATATATAAAACAATTTTTAGAAAAATTAAAAAATAGTTATAATATTAAACAAATAAAAATATTAGTTTTGTGCCAACTTAAAAAATAATACACAATTTATTTTCCTTGTGAATAAACTAGATATAATTTATATAATTTCAAAAGATAATAATTGTTAACAATATATAATTAAATTAGATTTCACTACATGAAATAATTTTTTAAATATGACTTAATTATTATTAATAAAATTAATTTTGATCAGAAAGAAAATTACTTAATCTATTTTTTGAAATTTGATTTGATTAGATAATATAACTAGTTATACATGTTATTACACTTACATTATATAATAAGATAATTATCCAAACAAGATATAGTTAATTATTAATATATCCAATTAAATTAGATTTTGTTACACTTAATCAATTCAATATGATTTAATTAAGTTTTAAATGTTTGAATATAATCAAATAAGATAATTGCTTGAATATATTTAACTAACGGTTAGAATATCTAGTCAAATTAGATTAGATTATGATAAATGATTTACTTAATTTAATTTAGTACCATCAAAGTAGATTTAAATATATAAGATAAGTAATTAAATATAATTTTATAAATTTATTCATATCTATAATATTCTATATGAAAACATAAAGTATAGTCATATTCCATTAACAATTTTCTTTTGTCACACTTTGAGTTATCATCATACTATCCACCCAATGGATAGTCCACCTCCCCAAGACAATGGTGAATCTCCTACTTCAGATTCTTCTCCCTCGTCACCTCCTCCCACGCCTCCTGGTGCAAATGATTCAGCATGGCCTATTGCCCTCAGAAAAGGTACTCGTTCCACTCGGAACCCTCATCCCATTTATAATTTTCTAAGCTATCATCGATTGTCGCCCTCCTATTTTTCTCTTTTATCCTCAGTGTCCTCTGTTGTTATACCAAGACTGTGAAAGAAGCACTTGATCATCCTGGATGGCGACAAGCTATGATTACAGAAATGCAGGCTCTTGACCACAGTAATACTTGGGAGTTGGTGCCCCTTCCCCCAGGCAAAAAGGCGGTTGGTTGTCAATGGGTGTATGTAGTTAAAGTCGGCCCTGATGGTGAAATTGAACGGCTCAAAGCTCGGCTTGTTGCAAAAGCTTACACTCAGGTTTATGGTCTTGATTATTGTGACACTTTCTCTCCTATAGCCAAGATGACTACTATTCGCCTCTTCTTTGCCATGGCAGCCATTCGTCACTGGCCACTTCATCAATTGGATATCAAGAATGCCTTCCTACATGGTGATCTTGAGGAAGAAGTTTATATGGAGTAACCTCCTAGGTTTGTTGCTCAGGGGGAGTCTGGTATGGTATGCAAATTGCATCGATCTCTATATGGCCTCAAGCAATCCCCACGTGCTTGGTTTGGAAAGTTTAGCTCCATTGTTCAAAAATTTGGGCTAAAACGCAGTGAAGCAGACCATTCAGTTTTTTACTGTCATTCTTCTCTCGAAAAATGTGTTTACTTAATAGTATATGTTGATGATATTGTCATTACAGGAAATGATGTTGTTGGAATATCTCAACTAAAAGAGTATTTGTGTAGACATTTTCAAACCAAGGATCTTGGAAGTCTCAAATACTTCTTAGGCATTGAAGTAGCGCAATCAAAAGATAGAGTTGTAATCTCCCAAAGGAAGTATGCTCTTGATATATTACAAGAAACATGCATGATTGATTGTAGACCGGTAGACAGTCCCATGGACCCAAACGAGAAATTAAGGACAGAAGAAGATGAATTATTCTCTGATCCAGAGAGGTATAGGAGGCTGGTTGGAAAACTGATTTATCTCACTATTACAAGGCCAGATCTATCCTTTGAAGTTGGAGTGGTTAGTCAGTTCATGCAAGCTCCATGTGTTGACCATTGGAATACTCTCATTTGCATTCTAAGGTATGTAAAGAAGGCTCCTGGGTAAGGATTGTTATATGAAGATAAAGGAAGCATTCAGGTCTTTGGGTATTGTGATGTAAATTGGGCAGGATCACCTATTGATAGACGACCTACTACAGGATATTATGCTTTTCTAGGAGGAAACATCATTTTATAGAAAAGTAAGAAACAGAATGTAGTAGCTCGATCAACCGCTGAATCCGAGTATAGGGCAATGGCATCACTAACATGTGAACTTATATGGGTGAAACAATTCCTTCAAGAGGTTAAATTCTGTGACATCCATACTATGAAGATGTATTACAACAATCAAGATGCTCTCCACATTGCATCAAATCCAGTGTTTCACGAGAGGACTAAACATATAGAAATTGATTGTCATTTTGTTCGTGAAAAGTTGTTGACTAAAGAAATATGTATTGAGTTTATTGGGTCAAACGATCAATTCGTAGATTTATTGACCAAGTCATTAAGGGGTCGTCGGATTGAGTTTATTTGTTCCAAGCTTGGTACATACAATTTGTATGCTCCAGCTTGAGGGGGAGTGTTAGGATATTTATCCTAATTTATCATGATTATATTGTGTCAAGGGTTACCATATTTATCATGATTATATTGTGTCTAGGATTACCCTATTTATCATGATTATATTGTGTCTAGGGTTACCCTATTTATCATGTACTTTTGTATCAATTTATTCTTATAAATAGAAGATTATGAGAGGGATCAATCAAGCCCTCTAGAATTATTTTACAGTTTAATTCTCAAGTTGGTATCAGCATGGTTAGAGCCTATCCTAGCGATAATTTGTTGTTTGTTGCGCATATTGTTCCACCCGCTATCAGACCGCTATCGGACCACCCATTAAAAATGTCTAATCCCACGCTCGAGATGTATATACCTCGGCGTTAGGGGGTGTGTTGGAAGTCCCACATCGACTAGAGATAAGGCCAATTTATAATATATAAGTGAGGTGCAAACCTCACCCTACAAGCCGGTTTTGTGGGGTTGAGTTAGGCTTAAAGTCCACATCTAACAAGAGGCTTTGAAACAAGTAATCAAACACACCAAGACAGTGGAAAAGTCACGGCCCAGACCAAGACAGTGGCCAAGAGATCAGATACAGCCACCAAAAACACAAAACAGCCAGCATATATCAAACAGATTAGAAATAATCCCAAACAGCAAGCACTGGAATGAACACTTGATGAAAAACAATTAAATGTGCAAGTTGCACCTGTAATCAGCGTTTTTCTAGGTGCAGGAAAATGAGTACTGAACAATTATCAACAAATGCGAATAGAAAATGATGGAATTAAAGCAAAATAATGACTGGATATTTTCCTAACATGTAGAGGAAACTAGGAAAAAAATTGCACTCAATTTGGATGAGAAATGAGCTAGAACTAGAGCAAACAAGCTGGTTATGCAATTCACGTCCGAGCTAAGTGGTAGAATTGGAACAAATAAG